TCTATATAAATATTTTAGGGGGTTTAACCTACAATTTTTANTTTAACCTATAATTTTTAGCTTTGTTACACTTTTTATTATAGGGTAAAAATACAAAATTTAAAAGGTGAATTATTACTATTAATATTATTTTATTTTTATTTTTATTTTAAAATAATAAAAAAATTCTGAAAAAATATTAATTTTTTTTAATTTTCAGGAGTTATTTAAAAAATAAGAAAAAGGAAAGTATTGAATAAAAAAAGTAAAAGTAGGTGGAATTCTCTTTTAAAAAGTAAAAGAAAGTAGAAAATTAAAAAAATAAAAGTAAAAGAAAGTTGGAATTAAAAAATAAATTTAAAGGTATCTGAAAATTAAAAAAATTTAAAGTAAAAGAAAGTAACATTTTTAATAGAAAAGCAAAAGAAAGTGGATTGTTTTTAAGAAAAGTTAAATAAGTGGAATTCTCTTTTAAAAAGTAAAAAAAGTGGGATTTTAAATAAGATAAAAGTAATTAAAGTTAGAATTTAAAAAATAAAAGTAAAGAAAGGTGGGATTTTTTTTATAAAAAAAATAAAAGCAATTTGTAAGTGAGATTTCTTTTAATTAAAAAATAATAAAATATTTTTTAAAAAAAAATCTGAAAAATCTCGAAAGTTTTGCTATAAATAGAAGAGAAAATTTGAGAAGAAAAAAAAAAGAGGGGGAGGAGAGAAATTTAGGTTGAAGGTTTTCATTAAATATTTCTTTCAACATTTCGGGCCTTAAATCTTGGGTTTGAAGAAGAGTTGATAGAGATTTTGTTGTTGTTGGNGTTGTTGCTGCTGTATTGACTCTACAACTTTCAGATTTTATTCATTTGAATTCACTCTCTTGTAGGTATGTAATTCAAGCTCTTGAGTTAAAAAATGTCGGAGCATCTTTATTGAAGCAGAAGTAAATTGATTTGGTTCTTTTGATAAAGTTTCTTTCGTATTGGATCTGTTCGCATGAATGATGTTTCTTTGATTGAGTGAATTGAGATTTGCAAATGTTAACGTTATTTTAGTATATTCATGACTCTGTCTCATTTTTGTTTTTTTTTCTTTATTTTATTTTTTTTTTACTTTTTATTTTTTATTTTTCTTGGCTCATGACTTGTAACTAGCAGGTATTGTTTTTTTTATATTTAGATTTCAAGATCATGTAGCACCATGTTCATATTTTGAAATTTAAAAAAGTATGTGAAGTTGAACAATTTGTCAACGTTAAGATGTAAAAAAAAATAGATTGCGTTAGTAGAATGATCTAATCTTCAATTTATATTATTGGCTGCATATTTTCTTAAATTAACCATGTGAAGATTCAACTTCTTCTTCTTCAAAATGGTACTGTAGAAGTTATAGTGGTGATACTACAACTTTATCTTTAGCATAGTGTTTAATAAATTAATTACTTTACGTGTTCTTTGTTATAATCAAGTTTAAAATGCATTTTTGTATGTCCATGTTTGTTTTGTTCCTTCTGGTTCATTCGAATAGTTCTTAGCATGATTTCTTTTTCTTTTTGTGTTCATATGGTCATTTAAGATTCATTATTTTGCTATAAAATTTTGTTAGTTTCTTTCTAGAATTTGAAATCGAAAGTCGGTCTTTTGAAGATGATATGGAGATGAACCCAAAGCTGGCACCTGTCTTTTGTTATTTTCACATAAATGCCAACTCTACCTTTCTGAATTGTAGTATGCTATAACAAAAGGCTCCAGTGATATACATGTAGCTAACCCATTTCTTTAGGTCTTTTGTACTTATCAATTATACCACTCCATCCACAATAAAACCTCAAAACGCATGACCCTCATTTAATTAATTTTAAATTCATAGAATTCGAGGCATACTATTTAGCGTATTTTCTATGGCCCTCGCAAAGTTGAAAAATGTGTGGTTGCTTTAGGCGCGTAATTCAAAATTACCTTCCTAAACTCGGGTGTGCATTTCATGTGACCCAAATCCAAATCCCAACAACGTTAAATAAAATGTGTCATGGACCGCGGGTGCATTTATGTGACGTGGTTTAAGACATATTTTAAATGACGTTGCAATCTTCCTAAAAATGAATAAGAGCGGTTAATAAGTTAAAATTTAACCATAGGCTAAAACATGTATTAAAATCAGATAATGGGCCAATTATAACAGTTGAGCGACCGTGCTAGAACCACGGAACCGGGGAATGCCTAACACCTTCTCCCGGGTTAACAAAATTCCTTACCCGAATTTTTGTGTTCGTGGACTGTAAAACAGAGTCAATCTTTTCCTCGATTCGGGATTTGAACCGGTGACTTGGTGTCATTATCCCAAGTGGCGACTCTGAATATTTAATATTAAATGAATCCCGTTTCAATTGTCACTTTAAGTTCGAAAAAACTCTCTTATACCCTTTCCGAGGTGTAGGAAAAAAGGAGGTATGACACCAATGACATAAGAGGCTTCACCCATATCTTTCATCTCAAAATTCTGGATAAGGAACTGTTTAGTCTCGTGCCACAATCCCAAGTCACTACTTGCAAGCAAAATATCATTCACATATAGGACTAGAAAAATATATTTGCTCACACTTATCTTAAGGTATATAAACTGATCAATGATGTTCTCCGTAAATCCAAATGAAAAAACAACATTATGAAATTTAATATACCATTGGCGGGAAGCCTTCTTTAGCCCATAAATGGATTTATTCAACTAGCAAACAAGGTGACTTTTGTCCTTATCACAAAATCCTTCAGGCTGGCGCATGTATACCTCCTCTTTAAGATCTCCATTCAGGAAAGCTGTTTTCACATCCATTTGCTGTAACTCTAAATCAAAATGAGCTACTAATGCCATGATTATTCTCAATGAATCCTTCTTTGATACTGGAGAGAAGGTTTCATGGTAAGCAATGCCTTCCCTTTGAGTAAAATCCTTGGCTACAAGTCTGGCTTTATATCGTTCGATATTACCCGATGAGTCTCTTTTAGTTTTAAAGACCCACTTGGAACCTATGGTAAAGGATTCTTTTGGTAATTCGATGAGATTCCAGACTTTATTTTTAGCCATAGATTCTAACCCTTCTTTTATGGCATCATACCAAAGTGTGGAGTTTTCTCCACTCATGGCTTGTGAAAACGAGCATGGATCATCTTTTAGTCCAATATCATATCAGACTCTTGGAGATATACAACATAGTCGATAGAAATAGCTGATTTTCGAATTCTTGAGGATTTTCTCACTCCCACTGGTTCAGACAATTCTTCAGTGGGTTCAGGTAAAGCGGGTTGATCTTCATGTGGCTCCTCAAGTGGTAGTGGCTCTTGAACTTGTTGTTGTTCAGATAATTTATGAGAATTTTTCTGAGCAACATTCAAGTTCCCAATATATAAAGGTACCACAGGTGGTTCCCTTATTTCTTCCAATTCCACCCTTTGAGTCAAACCACTCCCACTCTCTTCATGCTCCTCACAAAATTTAGCATTTCTAGCTTCAACAATTTTAGGAGAACGAGAAGGACAATAAAACCTAAATCCCTTAGAGTTAACCGCATAACCTATAAAATAACCGCTTATTGTTCTTTCATCCAACTTCTTTAGTTGTGGGTTATAAACCCTCACTTCAGTTGGACATCCCCAAATGTGTAAATGGTTTAAACTAGGTTTTCATCCTTTCCATAACTCAAAAGGTGTCTTTGGGACAGCCTTGGATGGAACCCTATTTAAAATATACACAGAGGTTTTTAAGGCTTCACTCCATAAGGATAAAGGTAAACTTGATCTGCTAATCATGCTTCTTACCATATCCATTAATGTTCGGTTCCTTCTCTCTATCACACCATTTTGTTGTGATGTTCCTGGCATAGTATATTGAGCAATTATACCTTCACTTTCAAGGAACTCAGTAAATGGACCCTTAACTTGTCCCTTATCTGTATACCTACCATAATATTCTCTACCCATATCAGATCTTACAATTTTGATCTGAGCACCAGTTTGTTTCTTTACTTCTGTTTTGTAAACTTTAAAAGCATCAAATGCTTTTGATTTGTTAAACAGAAAATAGAGATACATATATCTTGAATAGTCATCAATAAACGAGATAAAATATCTCTCACCAATCAAGCAAGGGGTAGGAAAAGGTCCACATATGTTTGTATGTATCATCTCAAGTAATTGAGAACTCCTTTTGGCACCTTTAGTTGATTTGTTGGTTTGCTTACCCTTTATGCAGTCCACACAAGTCCCAAAGTCAGAAAAATCAAGAGCTTTTAGAACTCCATCATTAACCAACCTTTTGACTCTATCAATAGAGATGTGTCCCAATCTCTTGTGCCAAAGACTAGATGAGTTCTCATTGATAATACATCACTTAGTGCCAATTTCTTTATCATGCAAAGTTAAAACATTGCATTCAAATGTGGGGTCTAGCTCAAGTTTATATAAATTTCCATTCAAATTTCCAAAACCAATAACTTTATTATCTTTCAAAAGTTTCATAGAAGGATGATGAAAATTCAAATCATATCTACTAATCGATAGTCTTGAAAGAGAAATTAAATTTCTAGAATATTTTGGAACATTAAAAGTATTTTCTAAATCTAAGTAAAAACCATCCTTTAAAATGAGCCTATAATTCCCCACGTGAACGCGTCCTATTTCCAGAATAGACGTATTGTTCACTTCCTATCGGCTTCCTCTGAGTTAGAAAGCCCTGCATGATTTTGGCAATGTGAATTGTAGCACCAGAATTAATCCACCATGTATTATCAGAAACTTTAGTAAAATTAAATTCATAACATACAAAGGTAAAATTACCTTTCTTCTCAAGCCATTTCTTGTATCTCAAGCACCTTTGAGAAGTGTTCCCAATTGTCAAAGGTGCTTTTCTTCTTCATGGGAATACTTCTGCCCTTCTTTGCATTTCTCTTACCATGAGTCACCATATTAACACTTTCAGATGTCTCATGCTTCAACCTCTCTTCTTCTTGAACACACATGGTAAAAAGTTCATTGATTAACCATTTATCCTTATGTGTGTTGTAAGAAATATTGAACGAACCATATTCCCAGGAAGTGAGTTGAGAATGAAATGCACAAGAAATGGTTCAAACATATCAACCTCAAAGGACTTGAGTTTAGCAGCAATGTCTCTCTTCTCCATAATGTGCTCACGCACTATACGACTTCCGTCGAAAGTCATACTTGAGAGCCTCTTCATAAGGGTGCTGGCCAATGCCTTGTCAGAGCTTACGAATTGTTCATCAATTGCCTTCATATAAGCTTTGACCTTATCGCTATTAGGGATAGAACCCCTAATGCTTTGGCTTATGTGGGCTTTTATGAGCATTAAACTTAAGTGATTAGATCGCTCCCACTACTCATAATTAGCCTTAGTAGCTGGCATACTTGATTCCATGGGAATAGGTAGTTCATCCACACGGAGTGCCAAGTCCAGATTCGAGCACCCTAAAGTGAGAAAGACTTTCTCCTTCCATTCAGCATAATTGTCACCAGAAAGCATTGGAATTCGAGCATTCTCATTAAAAATAGCGGTAGGAAAAGCGGTAAAGACTGCAAAACAAGGATAAACATACATAAGCTATGAAGTACAATCCATCAAGGTGAATCGCGTAAAATACCGATTCTTCGTAAATTCTAGACCTTCCTGTGGGCAGAGGTTACAACCCATGCATAGAATTTACTTTACTTTATTAGACTAGTAAACCAAAACACATAGAAATTAATCTGTACCTGTGGACATAAGATAATTTCCAACTCAAAAGTTTACTATCTCATTCCAATTAATCTCACCAAAATGGTTACCTCCCTATAGGGCCGGGTTTACCATTTTAATAAGATAATCGGATAAAATAGATGTCATTATAATATTAATTTTAATCACAAAACTTTATGTGATTAAACAACTTAGTTTCTTTTATATCAACTACTCAAGATGTTGTGGCTACTCCTAAATACATAAAACAAAAGAAAATTTCAAAATTGACATCTTACAATGATAAGCCTTTATAATTGACTTTCACTAGAATATTGATTTGTTTCAAAGTGGAGATACAAAGTATAGGCAGGATGCCTATATATCCTCAAATAATTCTTATAATTAAACTAAATATTATAAGAACTTCCAAAGATTTCAACGAACACATATGTTATATTACATAACTGAAGACCAAAGTGTTTGTCAAAGTCTCACTAGGCAATTCCTCCAGATTATTAGTACTTTGAATTGGCCAGTGCTTCAAGAACACTTCAAAATTCTTTGTTTTAAAAGGCAACAACTAAATACTTGTACCAGAAAATAAAGTTTAACTTTGAAAAGATAATATACGAATGTAAGCACGTGATTTTTGACCCTTCCCGAGAATTTTTACATTCTTAGCTTAAATATTTAATTTAGGACTAATATAGCCATTTTGACTATTTTTACTTTATTTTTCTCGCAAAAGAAAAAAATTACAAAAAATATATATATAAATTTTAGTTTATGTATCTCTCATAAACTTGAAAAAATACAAAAATTGTACTTTATTTTGGTACTTTATATAAATTCGAAAATTACAAAAAAATATAATTCTTTTAATGTTTTGTAATCGTTTTAATTTTGGAAAAATACAAAAAATATTACTTCATATTTTATCTTTATTAAAAAACGAAAATTACAGAAAAATAGTTTTATTAATATTTTATAGTCATTTTAATTTGGAAAAAATACAAAAAAATATTACCTCATATTTTATCTTAATATTTAAAAAAAACGAAAATTACACAAAATAGTTTTATTAATATTTTGTAGCTATTTTAAATCTTGAAAAATATTTAAAAAAAAAGGATATAGTTTTGTTTAAATACTAGTCTTATTTTTGGTAGTTATTTTGTTTACATAGGACTAGTTAAGCAACGTTTTCCTACTTCTCGGGTCCGGGCAAATGAATAATATTCGGTTTCAAACTACCCGGTTTTAGGCCTAATTTTCGGACCTAGCCCATGATAAACCGTGTCCAGGACACATGGGGAACCCCACCACGCGTGGGGGACATAAACCTTGAACCCCACCACGCGTGGGGCTCATTTTTCTTGGCAAAACATTACAAAACACGGACAAACAAGCCAAAAAGGGGGACTTCCGTTTTTTTTGAGAGATAGCTACTGTAGACCTTCTTCTTAAAAAGAAGAAGGAGAAAACCTACTGAAAGGACCACTGTTCCTCCGTCTTCCTTAAAAAACCAAAAAAAAACCTACTGGAAAGGCCCTTCGACCACCGGACCACCCTCCTCCTCCCAAACACCACCCCGATGCCATAACCGAAAACCCTCACGTCCCGCGACCAACCAGTCACCACCTTCCGGCACCCCCACGCACCATCTCCGTCGACCCACTGCCAACCTGCAACCACCCATCA